CCAGAACAGAACCCCACAAGCAGATATAGCAGATCCCCTTTACTCGGATTCGTGGGCACCATATCAAGATCCCTCTTCGGCACCGTGGACTACAATGATCAGGAACACATCACCAAACAAATTGATCGACTCTATCAAGACCAACAACAAATCACCCATTTAATCGGAAATTCGACCCACATCACTCAAGCCGAAATAAACGCCATGAAGAAGAAACACGAACTGAACTACGAGAAAATTGGAAAGGCTACAGATAGAATAAATGTCATAGCCTCCAACACCAACCTACTGTCTGACAAGCTGACCCAAGTAGAATACATCGCTAGCCTCGACGAAACAGCCAGAGAAATACAACACGCCGCCGAAAAATATCTAGAAACGATCCACAGCATCCTCCATGTCATCGAAGACGCAAAACACGGAAAACTAAACCCCATCCTAATAAATAACCAAAAAGTGGACACGGCCATAAAGGAAATTGGAAAAGTTATCACCGACAGCATCTTTCCAACATCTCAGGAAAAGACAGATTTGACCATCCTAAGCCAAATCAGCGACATGCACACCGGTTTCAACAACGGCTCCTTTCTCATAATCCTCGACATCCCACTACTAAGCAGAGATCTAATGAAACTCTACAAAATAACCCCCTGCAAAGTTCCCCAGAGAATCCACGGGAACAGAACAGTCACAGCATACGTGGAACCACAAAGCGAACACATCGCAACCTCAAAATTCACCAACAAATACAGCCAAATGAACCAAAAATTACCCCAGAAATCTCCCCCTGAGGAAATCTAGCGGAAAACGGAGCTGCGAATACCGCCTATTAACGAACCCCGGCACCCCCAGGAAGATCGGGCACCTCCTCCATCTCCCTCTCTCCTTCCACTTCCAAAACCTCCTTGACTGAACCTGGGGCCATCTACAAAAAAATATATATATATATTTAATAAATAATTGAAAATGACAATCAATTAGTACAAGCGTAAATACCACCCGCACGCCACAAAAAAAAAGTAAAAAATAAAATGAAAAAAAATAAAATTATTGAACCAAAAAAAATGGTTAACAAGTAATTGAAGATAATAATTAATTGGTGGCAACAAATAGCTACCAGTCGCGCCCCTAAAAGAAAAAGAAAAACCCCTCCCGGAGAGAAGAGGAAAGAGCCCGTGCACGTGAGTGTGAGGAGCCATATGTTCACCTCCACTCCTCTTGGTGCGAATGCCGCACAAAGAGGAATGGAGAAGAATACACCTCCTATGCATAAGAGTGGAGGGTTTCAATCGGCCGTTCCTCTTTGTGCGACATTCGCACGGGCACTAGCCTCTCACCACACCCCCCTCACAAACCGCCATAAAAATTACAAATAAAAATTCACCAGAAAACACAAAAACAAAATAAGTAAATAAAATAAGTGTAATAAACTATAATAAAATAAAATAAGTAATAAACAAATGGATAACTTAGCATATAACAATAAGGAAAAAAAACAGTGAGTTTGCACACAAAGGCAGCGAACCCAACAAAACTAAATCACTGCATATGTATCACAAATAAAAACAGAAAATAGACGATAGAATATCCAGAAACACTTGACGTGACAACGTAAATTTCCGTCACAATAAACAAAACCACTCACAACCACTTCACAGTCACTGAGCGAGTGAAGGAAACTGACAGGTGAATAGGAAAGACAGGGTAATCCGAATTCACAAAAATGTCACCGTCAGCATCCAGCCGCTCACGGCTACCGCTCGGTGCACGATTATAAAGCTAAAATAACTCAAAATATATTACAAATAAAAATAAAAACTCCAACTCCTCAAAATTGCTTCCAAAATGCAATTGGAAACAATTTTGAGCGGGGGCTGTAATGTCCAAAATTTTGTACTAGAAACTTTAAGGCGAAAATAATTTTATGTAAAATCATTAAGAACCAAAGCAACAATTGTAAATTAAATTGAGAGCGTTTCATCAGTTAAACTCGATTAAAAATTCCAAAGACACTGGAATCGAGTTCAAAAGTGATGAAATGGCACACTCAGCATGCCCCAATTACCCAATACTAAGATTCGCACGCGAAAGAACGATTGAAAACCGATCAATTGAAACCCCAAAAACCGAATGAACTACTTCCCCATAAAAATCAAAAGAGTGGGAAAAGTCATACGACATTTTCCACCAATTAAAAATGGACTCGTTGGAGCCCATGTGACAAGTGACCCCGAAATTCATATAAAAATATCAGAAAAACCAAAATTATTTAGTTTTGAAGCAGCGACGGAGCAGTAACAATTCTGGTGGAAATAGTTCATTTAATCGGTCCAGTTTTTGGATCCTTCCTTTGATTACGCGGGATAGTACTGAATTAATAGTAAGTTACGAACAATTGAAATTATCCGGGAATAAAATTCCTTTAATCGAGAGTGGTGACTTTTCTTACAAATAAGGAATTCATTTATTGTGACGCATTGTGGACAGTCTCAAACAAACTCTTAAAATCTTAAAATTCAACTGTCAAAATTCATTAAAATATCAACGAGTAGAAGAAAGTATTTCCGTGAAAGTATCCATAATATCCTTTAGCGCGACTAATTGCTGGTGAGGAAATTACGGATTTACCCAGGGATCTACAAACACATCGAATAATTTATAAATGTCAGACCGAATTGTGAGTAACAAAATTTGTAAACCCAAATTTGAATCCTTCAGATCATTCCAGGGATAAGAATTTTAGCTACATAGATTTCTGTAAAATTACGCTTATGTTTTTGAAAACCGAATAGTTATACAAAATATATTTAAATTCAAATTTAAATTCAAATTTCTTGATTAGAAATTAGTCTCAACTCAAGCCCTATCCCTAAATCAAACCCGTTTCCTTTATATTTTAGAAAAAGGTAAGAGTATAAAACTTTGCGTCGTCCAATAATTATAAAATTTATAATTTTAGCTTTGATTTTAATGCGACCATTAAAACATGTCCATTCGACGCTAGAATCTTTCTCCGGACATGACACTCAATTAAAAAATTGACGGTGTAATTGTAATTAGAGTTCAAAATATTACAAAAGTAATAATCACTCCTGAACCCTGCTAACGTTTAACTGGCGGGAGGGAGGGTCACCTAGCCTGGATTTGACGTGTATCTCAAAGTGCCTCTAACGTACATGAGTTGGACATGGACTTTTCGTAGGTATGCGTATTGATAAGGGTCAATCCCAATCTGGGCCCTCCGGTTTACATTGGAATAACCGCCTGAGTTTTTCCAATCTGCGTTTTGTCTAGATACAGGATGGATAAATTGCTGCAGGTTATCAATAATCACGACTCATCAACTTAGTAAATATAAGTATTGTGGATTTTCATCACTTCATCATGAAGCGTCAAAGTCATGGCCCCTGCGTAGCTGATAACGCTGCTGAAGAATTCAATATATAACCTAGTAAAACTTTTGTTGGTCGCGCGCTAAATGCGACTAATTCATTACGCGTCGTACGATGGTGCAAAACGCAATGCGTATGACCCTTGACGGGTCGAACTAACAACTTCCCGGTTCATGCATTTTCTTGGAAAAAAACACTCTGAACTACTGAATTGATGTTCTCCAAAATCTAATCAGGTCTAAGTTAGGTGAAGACGCTTCGATTGCATCATATATTACCTCGACGGCATCATTGGTTCATGAGAAATCGTTGACGAAAAATTTCGCATACATACATACCCACACACACGCACACACACACATCTCTCTTGGGAACTGCAGGACTTTTTTGTTGATGGAGGGGATTGAGGGATACATTCCAACCAAGGAGCAGTTCAAACCGAGATCTGTACTTTTCAGGACATCTTGGTGCAGAAACCCAACTCTAAAAGTGGCGCGCAGTGTAGGCTCCCTCCAACAGCCTGAGCAAAGAGAATAGGGTGAGCTCCCTTCATCAGCTTAAAATAATAATGATGAGTGACATTACAACACAAACTTCTCATGCGGGTATCCCTGAGAAAGGAAATCCCGCCATCAGTTCCCATCGGGTGAAAGCCCCAGTGGCTGATGCTGGCTCCACGGTATGTGAGAGGTAGGCCATCACTCTCTCCAAAGGTGGACCACTTGGCCTCAAATGCTACAAGTGGGGTAGAGTCACAGGCTTGGGAGGAGACAGAATGCTCTCTAGCGTAGGCACGGATGAATAAGCTCATCGCAGATTTGAATGAGTTTGTCCAACCCAAGTTGAATCTCCACAAGGAGATTAAATTCAAGTCGGCTTCTATTGGCAGTGTCTTCAAAAGGCTCGAGAGACTGGAGAGAGCACGCACTCGGACTCAGTTTTCTGAGGCTGGGTCGGTTCAACAGCTACTACCGCCACCGCTCTAGTGCTTACAAACGGACTCCGCAACAACAGTGAAGGATTCGGAGATAGAAGACCCGGGAGATGCCTCGCAGCACACCCAAAATAATCGAGACGTTCGTAAGGGAAAATGCAGGAAGCGTTCGAAGGGTTCGCCTGAGATGGCAGCCCGAAAATTGAAGAAATTAAAGCAGCAGGATGTAGCTGACATTATAGTCCCGCGGGCGAAGCCATTTGCCAAATCACCGGACTGGGTATACGTGAAGAACAAGAAGCGGGGAAGAAGGGAGAGGCTCCTAGAAGAACAGCCTCAGAAGCCGCTTCATATGAAAAAGAAAGAAAATGGGAAGAAACTACCCCGAAAAGCAGCGCTTAGATCTGATGCGCTGATTATCCGTCTCAAGGACAAGGACGAGTACTCGGAGACCCATATTCGAGTCAAACGAAACGTCCCCATAGATCAGGCCCGTGCATGCATCGACAAGATCCACAGGATGACTACCGGAGATATGCTTATTATAATGAGCAGGAAATCTACTGAAGGAGCTCCTCGGGGATGAGTCCGAGGTGATCAGTAAAGGACCATAAGTCGATCTTGAGATCAAAGACTTCAACGAGACGACGACGAAGGAGGACGTGCTCGAAGCTATGAAAGAAGCAGCCGGAGAGGAACACAAGATAGGTGCAGATACCATCAAGTCCTTGTGTAAGGCATATGGAGGAACCCAGACTGCCTCTGTAACACTCGCAGCAACTACAGCGAAAAAGATCTTGGGAGAGCACGGGAAGATCAAGATAGGCTGGGTAAATTGCCGCATAAGAAGAGTGCAGAGACCAATGAAGTGCTTCAAGTGCTGCCACTACGGACATCTCGCCACTAAATGTAGGAATAAGATCGACCGTTCCAAACTCTGCGCTAAATGCTCAGAAGCAGACCACAAGGCTACAGACTATAAAAAGGAGCTTCGATGCGTCCTGTGCATAGAGAAAGGCAACACGGAAAACTGTGCCCACATTGCTGGTAGTACCAGATACCCAGTGTATAAAGAGGCTGATCAATGAACGACGATGCAAGTGATACAACTCAACCTCAACCACTGTGAGGCCGCGCACGATCTGCTCATGCAGACTGTGCGGGAGTTGAAGTCGGACATTGTCATGGTCTCGGAGCCATATAGATATCTTGTCACCCAACCCTGGGTTACCGACGCTAGTAGAAAGGCAGTCATCTGGTCTTGTGGGAGCTACTCTTTCCAGACCGTGCCTTGTTGTAATGAAAATGGTTTCGTGAAGGCTCAGATTGATGGAATTTACTTCTACAGTTGCTACACCCCATCTAGTCTCTCGATTGACGAGTTTACGGATTTCTTGGACAGACTGACTGAGGATGCGAAGCAGCACTTTCCCGTGGCAATACCCGGGGACTTCAACGCCTGAGCAGTCGATTAGGGAAGTAAGGAAACAAACAATAAGGGACAAGCCATGCTCGACGCCATGTCATTGCTCGATATTGTCCTTCTGAATAACGGCAACGAACCGACCTTCATGAGGGGAGAGGCGAGCTCGATTGTAGATCTTACATTCGTGAGCAGCAACCTTGTAAGGGGAAACTGCTGATAGAGGGTAACCGACAGCTACACCCCCAACGACCATCGCGCGATACTCTAGAAGGTATCTACCAGCTGGAGGATGGAGTCAGCGCCTAAAAATACAAACACAATTGGCTGGAAAGTGAGCACCTTCGATTTTAGCTCATACCTAATTGCACTAGGCGACGATCCGATCAATGGCAATAATGCTATGGAAAAGGCGGACGACCTCGTAAGAAGGATCACGGAAGCCTGTGACGCCACCATGCCCAGAAAGCGGGTCAACAATCGGCGGCCGGCGATCTATTGGTGGAATGATGCCATCGTCACTCTGCGTAAGGAGTGTAATAAAGCGAGGAGATCGTCACAGCGAGTCCAAAAGAAGCCAAATTTCGGAGACACACGGCTGAAATACAAGAAAGCACGCCAGAAGCTCAGCAAGGCCATCAAGTCCACCAAGAGGCAATCCTGGAATGAGCTCCTTGTAGAAGTTGAAGGGGATCCGTAGGGCAAGCTATACAAGGCGGTGATGACGCGGCTTGAAGGCCAACAAATGCCATCACCAACTTGCCCTGAACTCTTGAAGAAAATCGTCACGGTGCTGTTTCCACAACAACCGGAACTCCACCGTGCCACCGAATACGAAGAGGAGGAGACCATTCCACCAATCATCGAGGAGGAACTGATGGAGGCCCGCAGCCGAGTGGGGACCACCAAGGGTCCTGGTCTAGATGGAATCCCCAACACTGCGCTGAAAGCGGCCATCCGGAGGATGCCGGCGCTGTTCCTGGACGTGTACAACGAATGTCTCAAGGAAGGAATCTTCCCTGCCAAGTGGAAGCAGCAGAGGCTAGTATTACTCCCAAAAGGGAAAAAACTGCCGGATGAACCCTCATTTTATCGTCCCTTCTACATGTTCGATACTACTGGCAAGATTCTCGAACGCGTCAGTCATAGAAGGATAGAAGCAAAAGTTGAGTCACTGTTAGCCGGCAACCAGAAAGGTTTTCGGAGAGGCCGATCTACACTCGATGCCATCAGCCTTGTCGTCGACACCGGTAAGGAAGCGATCTCAGGGAAAAGATGGTACATCGTTACAGAAAAGTACTGCCTAGTAGTCACACTAGACATCAAGAATGCCTTCAACTCAGCCAGGTGGAACTGCATAAGGGAGGCTCTTGTGAAGTTGCATCTACCTGGATACTTGCGAAGGATGGTGGATAGCTACTTTACAGGAAAAATTCTCAAGTACGATACGGAGTGTGGTCCGGATTAGTACAGAATAACTGGAGGGGTACCTCAACCCGCATGGAAAAATATATATGCGGAAAATGTATGTGAGAATTGAAGCAAAATATATGTCAAATATAAGTTGCTTACAATCGAGAATAATTCGAATATATGCTACATATACACCTTCAATATTTATGAAATGTCATTTTTCGCCGATTTTATATATAAAATAATATAAGAAATTTATGTCATTTTTTAAGGAACATATTTTCCAATTATATGTCATTGCAACTGTTCATATAATGGATAATTAAGTTCACATCCATGAGATTTATATCAATGTAAATATAAGCTTTTTACAGGTGATTATATATTCGACATATATAGTGCAAATGTCAAAAATACAATATTCATTCACATTTAGTAGATGGTTATTAACTTTGTAATTATACGTGTCTTATACTGGACCTATAATGAGGATGAATTTCACATATATAGCCATTATATGAAAGTAAATACATATTCGTAATAATTGAGTATATATTTTGCCTATATGTTGAATTCATCATAAATAGATTGTACATATATGTTGAGTATGTGATCGAAAAGCATATATTTGGAATTTATCAGGAATACATCACTTTTATTTCATGTTTTTTTTGTCAAAATCAGCGTATTTTTGGTTTTTAAAAAACAAAAAATTTGGGGAGGAAAGTAAATGATTCGATGACATCTATGTATTCGCTCAAAGTGACATATATCATAAAATTGCCATTACATTTCCATAGTTAATAACTTATTAATGTGAACATTTTCATTTTTACTTCTAATAATTATGACGCCTATGAGTATTGCTAAAATTAATCTTACGAGTCATAGAGTGTTTGAAAACATTTGGTGATCTAGAAAAGTACAAAAAAATACTATAAAAACTCCACGTGTGATTAATTAGTTTCCACGTGCAAAACTCGATCACCAAAAGCATCAATTACTCAAAACATTATCAACACGGTTTGGCACGTCGTCTTACACAACTACTGAAGGTACCATCATCCTAGAAATGATCAACATTTGGTAAACTCTCAATAGTTAATACAAAGTCAGCTCGATTAAGTCGTCGAGTTTCAACATTACGTAATAATCAATCCTTAGGACCAATCATTTAGTGAACAGAAATAGTAGAGAAAATTAGTATATCTCTCCACACTAAATCAGTTATAAAGAGATATCATTAAGTTAAATTATATGATCTTTTCAATTAAAAAATAATTAATAAGTCCTATAAATTATGAGGACATATAAAAATCGGAAAATACGTAATAAATTATGGGCATTGGCAAATAACGGGTATGAGAGGCCTTCTATGTATCAATGCCTCTGGAACAACCCTTTGATCAACATTCCTTAGTTACACCAACACGAACTCGTGGTCGTCTAGGGACTAATATCGATCAACGCTTATCTGTGCCTTTTATTTATTCTTCTTGGTGAACAGCAGCAGCGGCCAGTCTCGCTTCTCGTCTCAACGTGTTCAACTTGACGTTGATGGCTCGATTCATTTTCGTGGTTTTGAACGACTGAGGAAATTCTTTCCTCACAGACACTGGAAGGATATGAAATCATATGAAAATTATCTACTGTAAGGGAGAACCGGGCAAAGTAGAACAGCAATTTCATAATAAAGACTGTATTTCTAAACACTAATTTTGGAACAAATTATTCTTGTATTATTCTTGAATTTAAAAAAAATAGAAAAACTGTGTTTTACCATTATTTCCTAGATTTTTCCATCGTGCTGCGATTGGCGGGAGTACTCCCCAAGGCTAGCCAGGCCCCCACGAGGTGCAAATGCTAACCAATGCCATTGTACCCTGATGTGCGACTTTGCCCCGTTCTTCGTTGAAATTATGTACTATTCGCACATTTAATTCTGATGGAGAAGGAATATATTGAATAACATATAAAGAATCATTTTCTAAGGATCCGCCTATTACCATTATGGTCTCGAATAGATTTCATGATTTTTCCTGAGAATTTCCCAATGATAAAATCATCAAAATTTATCACGTCGACGCTTGTACAAACGTTAGAACTCTGAATAGTTTTCTCAAAAATCGTGTAAGTTCGTAGAAAATAATCGAATCTGTTTGTGACCATAAAGGAAGTAGGTGGCCCACACGACAAATAATCCTTCATATTAGCAATTCAAAATGGATTAAATTGTTAGAATTCGCGACAAAACTCTAACAAAACGAAAATTGTACTAAAAAATGGAAATGTTGATACGTATGCATGAATATTTTACACACTGAGAGACACGTTTATCTGTGTTTAATAATAATTATTCGAAGTTAAAATTAAATGGAGACTTTATTAAGAAACTTTTGTCATCTCAGTCGAACTAATCCGTTTGGAATGACTACATTCCATGCATTTGTTCTCTAGGAGAAGAGCAACAGCGGATTGTTACTGCCAAAAAAATATATTCCTTAGGAGGAGGTCGGAGGCATGAAGAATCTAGGGAAAATACCTGTAATAGCTTCGAGGATACGAGCATCCAATGCTTAGTGACGAGGAGGGTTCTCTGCTGGTCTCCTTAGCTTGTTCGCACCACCCTTCACATTGCTTTCTAAAAGTACATCATGGGAAAATAGAGACATGACGAGAGTGACTGGCATGGCAGTAAACGACCTTTGTTCTTTACCTGCATCCCATTTCATTTTAGACAAAGTTACTCCACTGCTTCTCTGTCCCAGCTCCACCTAGAATAATTAACTTCTGAAGATTTCCATGTTTTCAATGAATATGATTGGGAGCAACGAAAGGGATAACTAAGAACGATTGCTCTCAGATGATCAGAAATTGAGAAAATTAAAGAATTTACCAGAGCAAAGATTGACGCGAAAATGAGGCAATTATTGATGTGCCATTTTCTTCCAGTCATCCAAGATATATACGGATAAGAAATATTATTGATAAAAATATTCCATGGAGAAAATGGAAATGATAACCTTGGAAGTCCAGGAAGTTATAACGAGAGAAGAACTACAGGTATATGGGAACAAAGATTATTTTGCAATCTATTACCAGATCATCCTCATCAGGCTGGTCACGTTGTCGAGCAAGCACGATATTTGCTTCCAATAACTCCCTCAGATCCTGGTATTGTTCTCTTATGTCAGCCATTCCCACGCATTCTAAAATGACAGAAACTTTTTAATTGCATGGGCATAATTGATC